CTGCGATAGTTGACAGGTCAGATGTGTGTACTCTGTGTGTGTGTACTATGCGTATATGCACTTCTTTCTCTGTTAATTCTTACTAATACCTGAATGAATCACGTCAAGATTTCAAATAGGTAGCTGTATGTAAGCATTTCTTGTGGTACCTGAGGCACAATGGTTGGGAAGAACAGACTGCTTGTAAGGTAGGTTGAAAATTGGCTGGCCAGTCAGGCTTGAAGGTTCAGCCTGTAGTTGGTGGCAGGCAGTGAGTGGAGGCTGAGGAGGCTGGGCTTGCTTAGTCTGGGGAAGAGAAGGCTATGGGACAGTCTAATAGCAGGCCCCCAATTACCTGAAGAGCAGTTGCAAGGGTGACCAAGTTAAACTCTTCCTGATAGGAGCACAGAGTGTAAAAACAAAACACACCCTGAAAAACCCAGGGCTAGAAATGGCAGCTTGGGAAGCTCAGATTAGACATTAGGAAAAACATGTTATCCAAGGAGATAGTACAACACTGGAACAGGTTATTCCCAAGGCCCATGTATTCCTTAGGGGTTTTTGAATGTTGGCTAGAAAATGCCAGCCCTCAAATGGCTGACCTGCTCTGGTGTGAGCAGGAATAGTAACCTGAGCAGGAGCTGGGACTGGAGGTCTCCAGAGGTCCCTTCAAAGCAGCATTTGAATGATTTTGAGTGTCTTTGCCCTGATACCTGCTTTACATGTGAACAATACCAAAGCTATTTGTCTTCAATTTTCTGCTGGTAACAGACCGTTTTCCAGCTTTTCCTTTGTACCCAGGAAAAGAGTTAAATTTCATTTTGACTGTTATATTCAAATAATAGCTAAGAAGTGCCTGGAGGCAACTGAACCAGAGACGGAGGACAGAAGGAGGTGCCTCTGTATGCCTTGAGTTACTTCTGAAAGTAGGCTTACTGCTTTTTGACAGTGGTGGAAGAGGAAGAAATGGCATGCTACGATACCTTTCAAAGAATTTCATCTACAAAGCCTCGGTTTCTGTACGTATGTGGAGTGTTGTAAAAAATTATATGGGAATGTTGTCAGGAAATCCTTTTGACTAATTAGAAAAACCTGCTTCCCTCTGAAGTTCAGTGGTAACAATCAAGTAGTTACTGTCATCTTTTGTTTCTGAGTTTTAAAGCAGAGGGCTCACACATTACTGTATATCTGAAAACGCTTTAATATTAATTGGTAAATATTTAGAGTTGAAACTTTTCTTATGTTTGAATGTGGCTTTTTTTTTTAAGCAGTGATAGCCACAAATGAGCTAATGCTGTTTCTGAAAGCCTAAAAGTTGATTTTCATAATTAAGGGCTATTGAATGAAATAAACCAAATAACATATTAACAGTGCGTGATTAGCAGTACTCTCATCATGTCCTGTTTTGAATTAGTGTAGGTTTAGCAAAAAGTTTTAAAAATCAATTTTACTAGTACTTTGTGATCTCTTAAGTGAATCAGCCCTTAGTTGAATCTGTGCCGAGGCCGTTACTCCACCCGTGGTGCTCCTCTCTTCTGCAGCTCCTTGTCTGTCTTCTGAACTATATGAGATTTGTCTGAGTTTTACTCATGACCCTTGCTAAAATGTAGTGATTATGATGTACTAAGAAAGAGGTATTTGCTATATTTAAAAAGTGTCAGTGCTGAGCTTTGTGAAATGTGTTGTGCCCATGGGGGAAGAGACCTACTTTGAAGTAGGCAGGAATGAGCTTGTCTAGTCGGTGGGTTTAATTTCAGTTTAAAGTGGCATCTGCTGATCTGTTTGGTGATACCGTGGTTTTTCATCTGCGCTACCACATCGGTGGAAGGGTTAGGCGCTGCCGTGCTTTCAGAATGCCTGGAATCTTGTAATTTTCAGGAGCAGACTTTCTACATTGATAGATATATAATGGTGATAGCATCTTGTGCCACATCAAAGACAACTGCAGCGACTCATTCTTCAGTGTGAGGCTCTGTTAAGTGTGTGCTGTCCTTTCCTAATAAGCATAACCCTGCCATATCCCTGTGTCAGCTTAGGGATTTTTTCCCATCTAGTGTGCCCTGTTTCCAGGACTTTCTCTTGCAGGTGATCTCAGTTGCCCATCTTCTGATGAAGCTTTTTACTGAAGATGCAAATACATTGTTTTGGTCCTTATCTGTCCCCATTTCCCTTGTGTGGTATTGTTGGCTCCTGACTGAGATGGTGCCTTACCTACCTCAGTCCTTGCCTAAGGGTTGTTCAGTGCTGTCTGTGCAGTAATAAGATCTTTTTCCTTCTTTTTTTTGGGGGGGGGAGGGTGGAGGAGGATGGTTTTTATTAGAAAGGCAGAGAGATCACGGCAGCAGTGTGTATAGCTTTGGAGTTATACATCTGACTGCTGTAAATCTGACTGAACTTGTTACTCCCTTTTAAGTGTAACTTGGACTGATTTATCCCTAAAATAAAGCCAGGAATTGCAAAGTCATTCCAGAAAGAATAGAGACTATAGTCTCATATTAGCAACATTCAGGTAGCTGTGCTTTTCACAGAATTGCCTCAAAAGAAGTGTTCAGAACATGCATAAACTCAGTAGGAAAAGGCTAGCTTTTTGTGGTACAATGGTACGATTTATGTAGAATGGAAAAAAAGGAATATTGTGGCTTATCTGAAGACAAATAACAAGCTTCATTCTCTGGTGACAGCAATTACTTGCCTTTGTAGTCATACAAAATAATTCTTTTGTAAGAGAAGAAATTCCACTGTGCGAGAGCAAATATTTGAAATGGAGTTAAGTGTTGTGTGTGGGAATTTGATATGTTCATGGAACACTGTTGTGTGCTAAAGTAAATTAGGTATTTTTCCTTTACAAATGGAGGAGCTGAAGATATCGGAGATGCCGCAACTTTTGTTCACTGAATTGCCATTTGCCTTTTCTTTCCTTTGCCCCTCTTTATTGACTTCTCATTTGATATGCCTGGACTGCTTACAGTCCTTACTTGCTGTTGTTATCATTGTCCTGATGATACAAAAGAAAACACTTTCTTAATGTGTTGTGAAATATAACATGGTTTGTAGTCCTCTGCGTGCTTTTAAAGACAGAAGGAACCATTGACTACAGTGTCCTCAGACACCACATGTTGACATGTTTGTCTGAAATGGTGGTCCTTTGCATGCTTTGGAAATAGCACTCTGGTGTACTAATCTCTGGGAAAGTAACTTTTATTATTGTTGGCTCCAGTCTTTAGCGTGCAGCTCTCAGCTGACATACCAGACATTATAGAAGAATGCTTGTGACTCAGCTAAAAGAAGCTCAATGAAGTGTCTAAATTAGGAATCTCTTTCTTGTGCCTTTTTTTGTGTTTTTTACTTATTACTGCATGCTGTCCTGTCTTATTTGTACACAAGACCGTCAGTCCTCTGCAAGGCAAGACACACTCCATCAGCTTTATATAAGCAGCAATTCCACTTAAAAGAAAAATTACCATTTTCATACCACAAGTAGAAGGCACTAGTCCATCAGAATAGAAGGCAAAAGTCCATCAGACTTTAAATTACATTTAAGTATACATTACTTCTTTTAAAATAGCAATGCTGTTTCTATGGCCTTCTTTTCTTGCAGTACATTCATTTAGCTGTCAGCTTTTACATGTAGTTATAATAAGGTACAGTTGCAGTGTATGTTTTCATTGTAGACTGAATCATATGTCTTACATAGCTTCAAATGAATGTTCATCATAATGCTGGTTATAAAACAATCAGAAAAAAAAGATAAAGTATCTAACTGCAAGAGACAGTGAATAGCTGAAAGCATAATTAACTCTCCAGTACAAAAGTACAAACTTATTTTGTTACTAAAGTTATTAATAGGTAACTCTGAGAATTCCTATGATTTACTGACTGAAAAGCCAAACCTGACTGTATACAGGTTTTAAAAAAAGCCAAATATCATAAAAGTCATGGGATATAGCATAAGGAGGGGTTTTTCATTTGATGGAATTAAATTTTGTAGTTTAGAGATCTAATCATTGTATGTCACAATCTTAAAATGTGTCTGGATTAGGTCAGTGCCTGTTTTTTGCAGCTAAATACCCCGTATGAGCTGATTCCAGCTGTTGAATGCAAATTCCTGTGAATATTGGGCACTTGAGAATGTGGATTCTTGAGTTACTGTGAAGAGTGTTGTTGGGGCTCTGGAAGGCACAGCTGCTGCTCACCGAAGGAGTCCTTTTCTTTTGGTAACTCCTCACAGTTATGAATTCATGACCTGAAGGGATCTTTTCAGTAGTTTCAGTGTTACTGTGTGCTTTAAAAATTAAATGTAGTTGGCTTATTTCTTTTGAATTAATTTGGTGCCACACTGTAAAACATTCATTTAATTTTGCATGTGTTTAGCCTAACAATGCTGTGAAGAATTTTGAGGAATGCCCTCGACTGAGGCTTATCAGTAAATGCCTAATTTCTTACACTTGGTGGCTTCCACAAGTTTCCCAAGCATGTCCCCATTTCAATCCTGTGTTGGGATAACTTTGTTCTGATACAGCCCTCAGCAAGGAGGCAGCTATCAAAATCCTTGTCACTGGACTCAATAAATGTAGGACGATTAACAAGAGATAAACTTAAACCATCCCTTTTGTGGTAGGTGTGAGCAGACATCTCCCTGTACCCTCGTGTGATCTCTGTGCAATCTCCAGTAATAACTGAAATCATCAGCAGGCTGCATGATGTAGTCTCTTGGGCTTCTGTGAGGAGTCCAGTCTTGCTTTCAGGTGTTTGCACTCATATTTTTCTTACCCCCGCTTGAACTTCTGTTCTGTTTTCTAAACAGCAGTTGATGCTTGGGTTTGAATCACTTTTTGCCAGCAAAGTAATACTTAACCACTTTTGGATTGTTGTTACTATATAGATTTTCCAAGCAGAAATTCCTTGCAAGGTGAAGAAAAGAAAACAAACAAAAGTGTCTTTATCTGTGCATACTATACAAATACTTTAGGAAAAGGAGAAGAAATGAGTATTGATGCATCTGTTTTCTGTCTCTTCTATAGGTGTACAGGATCCTCAACATGAGAAGATAATTACTGTGACTACTAATGGAAGTATTCACAGCCCAAAGTTTCCACACACATACCCACGCAATACTGTACTAGTGTGGAGATTAGTAGCAGTAGACGAAAATGTATGGATACAGCTTACTTTTGATGAAAGATTTGGGCTTGAGGACCCAGAAGATGATATTTGCAAGTAAGTTACTTTTCCTTTAACTGAGAAAAATATGAAGGGGGGTGGAACAAAAGTGTTGCTCGAGTTTTGCAAAAATGTGACACCAGCATGTCAACATATTTATAAAATGCTTTTAAAGTATTAGTTTATGGTTTTCTTTTGCAGTGTTAGGGAAGGATTTAATGCTTGAAAGCTTAGGGGTCCCCTCATTTTTCTTTCTGCATTCAGTATCCGGGCCACAGATATGATACACAAATGTGAAATATTTAATCTCTTTCTCAAATTTAAGTTTTGACATCTGGGAACATATCCTTGACAAAATGTTAGAGGAATGGATGTCTCATTTTTACAGAGAAGATTTGGGTAAGCAAGTTACCTGAAGTGGAATTCAGATCACGACACAAAGTACATCACTGTTCAAAAAAAACTCAACAAAACACCCCACACCATACTGCAAAATATTTTAATGGCCTTTAATGGTTAAGTTCTCAGTTTTCTATGAAAAACAGCACTTACAGTACTGCATTTATTGATATTCTTCAATGATACTGGTTTTTTTTCCCGACTTCAATAAGTATTCTGCATGCTCAGTCACTGGCACAGGTTTCTGTAGGACCTGTGGAATCTATATTTCCGTCCTAGGATTTGCAGCTGAAGGCTTTGTAGCTTGGGAGAGAAACAACCATGACAAAATGGGCATCAGGATGGATGTAGCTCTGAATCAAGCCATCTGATCATGTTTTGGCTGTTTTGTGAGGCAGTAGAGGCTGACATTATATATGCTTCCTGTGGGTGGGTGAAAGGGGAGAGATCCTAAACTCTTGTATCCTGTATCCGTCTGCCATCACAGCAACACATCATAAAAAACCCCAATGTGTGAATAGTGGTACGTTGTCTGAAATCTTTTCAGTAAATTAAGTAACAGATACAATATGTCATTTGAATGGCATATCCTCCTTCAATGTGTTCCTGGGGAGGTACTTTACACAAGATTTTTCTTTCAAAGTAGTTTTTTGTTTTGTTTTTTTCTGTTTGGGCGTTTATTTTTGAGTACCTTGTATATACATTTGATTTGATTATTGCTTTCAGTTGTTCTAATTAACTGATATTTGGTTGGTTTTATATCTTGTATCAACTTTTGATAACAAATTTGAATTTCGTAGAGGTCACTTTTGCACTCATCCTTAATTTTGGAGCTGAGGTACATAAGAGATTGGCAGATGATCTTTCTTTCCTAATTCTGAAGGGAGTAATTGTCAAGGCCATGTCAAATATAATTAAAATATAAAGTACTGTAAACATATGTTTGCTCAGATGAGTGCACTCCCTTGGCACAATAATTCTTTTCTTTAAAGGAAAACTTAGCTTGCTTTTTCTTTTCTTTGCATATGGCAGAGTGAAGTGACAAGTGAAAGAAAATCCAGGTAGGGTGACTCATGCGTCCACTTGCAAAGAAAAAAGTAAGATAAGTTAAAATATTTTTAATATTATAACTAGAATAGTATTTTAATGGGAGTACATTTGTTTTAAATAAACAATGTGCTGAATACAGAAGTACTGGTCAAATTAAGAAATGGTAATAAGTCACTCATAATCTTCACTCGGTCGTAATCTTACTGTGCTCATATTTGTGCAGGGACAGCAGGAAGTTGTATGAATGCAATTCCTGATATGTGCACTTTTGAGGACACATTGGGCTTTTTGGCTTGGAAGATAGGACCCTCTGAAAAAGAGAGTTATATTGTTGTTTTTAACCAAAAGAAAAAAACATAGCTAGGGTTCCTATGAAACTTAAATTCAGTAACAAAATCAGTAAAGGAAGGGCAAGTGTACCATGATTGATGTAAAGGGGAGTATCAATAATTGACAAGTTGAGGAAATAACTAAAGCACAGAGAGTTTAACTATGTAAAACAATTCGATACAGGCCAAGTAAGTTACCAGTATCAGAGTAATATCTCTTTATAAGTAATGTCTTGCATTTCTTATCTCTTATAGTTCCTAATAAAATTATTTAATAATTTTTCTCGTACCTTCTGTAGAAAAACTAAGGGTTTTATTGTCTGCATCCTATACTCCACTGTGTTTCTGCCATCTTGAAACACACAAACCGGTATTGTTGTTGTAGAGTACTTGACAGTTGCTCCAAAGGCAAGTTTATATGACAAAAGGCAGAATAAAATATGACATGAAATGTAATGTATTATAACTCTATACCTTACGGTGACCTGATCCTTTGGTTCTGACCTACCACTGAAACTAGGTAAAAACTGCAGCCCAGTAATGTTAGGCTTTCTATGCAACAGTGTATAGTTTGTACCAGGTATCTTTCTCTCCCTTCTGTAGTGTATGAGAGGAACTCATGAGTTACCTGCAGTGGCCATTGCCACAATTTTCAGTTCCTCTACCTCCTTCATAAGCTGCATGTTCTGTGCAATGCCCGAGATTTCTCATCGTTGTAGGCTCTATTGCCCTGTAGTGTCAGCTCACTGCACGGATGAGAGAATACGCTAGAGTGTATTAGTTTAAGATAATTAGCAGCTTTTAAAATCTCATAGTAATTCAAATATTGCTCACACATTGGGAAAAAAAAAACCACAAAACATACCGCTATATAAGACTTCTTTTCTTAACATAGCTCTATAACAGGGAAACCATGGTAGTGGTGAATAAGAAATATCCTAGATGTATCCTGAAGCTATGGTGAGCTTTTGCCTGTATCTGGCTGACCTGACCTCCACACTTGGATTTCTCCAAAGTCAGTTCTGACATTTCGAGCTATGCTGTGAGGTCTTTTCATTTAGAACAAGTATCACAGTTTACAGATATGTTGAAGGCACCAGTCTAGTCTCCACTTAAATACTTGTCCTGAATCTGAATCAGAATGATCTTGCATGGATTTTTCCACTTGTTTTTACTTGCAATTCAGCTTACAGTATTTACTAAGGTAGAGCATTTACATTATAGCAAATTCAATGTTTATGACTAGCCATCCTAACCCAGCCTCACCTGGAACAGCATTAACATGCATAGTCCTAATTATTGTGCTCATTCTCACCAGTTTTAAGCATGAATGCTGTGTTCTGTATGTTTTGGAAACAAAGTTTAATTTATAGCCTTTTTAGAATAAACTTCTGATACTTTGCCTGTATTTCTCCAGATTATTTTTGTCCTGGTTTTACAATTCTGATGCACTTGAAATTTATGCAGTTCATCTCTGCATTGCTTAAAATACAGCTGCTGATTTTTTTTTAACAATAGTTCTACTTCATCTGCACCGTATCCTTTCTATGGACAAAATGTTAATAATCCCACTATGACCTTCCCAAAGTGAACACAAACTCCAGTTTATGTGGAAACCAGATCCATGCATGTGTCTCAGAAGAGATTTAGGTTATTTGCTTAATAATATGGACATACCAATCTCTGCAATATTGCAGTAATTTCAGTCTTGTACACTGTGTTTGATTCAGTTGTGACGTAAAAGAAAAAGGTTAAGAACAAAAAAAAAAAAAAAAAAACAAAAACCCAGCAAACCGAACAAACAAAAAAGGAGAAGGATGCAGTTTCCTGGCTGTTTCATGCATTACTGTTCAGATGATAAAACTGGCAGTGAATTTTTCTTACGTAAGGGAATTTCTATCTCACAGAGACATAGTGGATTTACATTCTCTATGCCCACCCTTTCTGATGAAGAAAAGCAGCAGCTTTTCTTCTGCTGATATGATAGCTGATATGACAGGTCATTATTTCAATCATGCTAGCCCCTGAATACTGTTTTAATCATAAGGCCATTAGACTTCTATACCTGACAGCTCCTATCGTCAGGGAGATGCCATAACTCTTCTTGACCAGGAAGGACTGATCTTTGCTCAATTGTTGCTTATTGTCCAGATTTGTTGCTTTTTGTCTCTGAGAACACGCAGCGATAACAACTTTGTGATAAACCTCTCTGACAGGAAGACACAGGTTCAGCTTTCTTTCAGAAGGAACATGGATGCTACAGTTGCCTTGTCTAAAAGGCAGTCTGATGCTGTAAGTTGTACATTGGAGCATTACAATGCAAGACTGCAATAGGAAAAGAAAAAAAAAAATTTCTTTCTTACGTTAGTAGTGCATGTCAAACTTGCTCTCTCCCTGTGCACAGAATGGCTCTAGTTGTTCATCGTAGTGGTGGCTGCAGCTGTTCTTTCTAATCATCAGATGATTACAGTCTGTTTAACTTTTATTGTATATAATAAACCCCAGAAATGTGTCACAAATCCAAAGTGCAATTACTGTAGGTAAGATGATAAGGATAAAATACACGAGTTAAAAGAATGTGGAACCAACCGATAGTTGAGTAATAGATGCCATTTGACCGTCATCTTGGTATTAGGATAGCTATACTCATTTCCAACTCTCTTCAGCCCTCTAATAATTTAAAGTATGAACTATAGCCTGTTTTGTGTGGCGTGGTTTGGTTTTTTGGGGGGGTGGGGGGAGGGATGATCTTTGGGTGTGTGTGGGTGTGGTTGTTTGTTGTTGTGGGGGGGTGGGGGGCGGGCTTTTCACAGCTGCATATATGAATCTGTTCATGTAGTTGTATAAGTGAAGTATTTACCTATAATGTTTTGAAAGAATTCTAGAACTTGTCTAGTTAATATGTGCAATATTTAGAACTTTTGCCTGAAGAAAATTAGTTAAGCTGAAGGCAGCTGTCAGTGCTAACATGGGGTAAAATCTGTGTGAGTAGTACTGTTGACTCCCCCCCACCACCCCCC